AATCCATGTGGGTATGGCAGCTGAGGACACGGCTCAATGCTGAGCTTGGTGACAGTGCTGATGCTTGGTGATTGATCCTAGAGGCCCTTTCCAACCTTCACGACTCTATAATTCTATTTCCCTTGGTAGTTTCTGTTTTGTTTTAAACAACAGCAAAAATAAAGAACCTCATATCACAGTTTTTAAATATGTAATAACAAAATATATATATGACTGTTCACTTTCAGTGGAATGGACCCAAACCTACATGATTCCACTGCAAGTAAATGTTTTTTCTTGGGGACCAAGCCAGGGAATGCATGGCAGGAACTGTTCAGTGTCTGCACGCACACATTTGTATCTGAGGCTGTGGAGGATCTCCACCCTGCACCAGAACGGCTCAAGTGCCAGAAATCCCAGGGCTCCCGTGGTACCCTGCATTTTGCCCAGTTTTTGTGCCTTTAATAGATGAAGGGAACCACAGGAGCATTCCCAGGACAGCTCCTTAGTGCCACTCCACCACCAAGAGCTCATGATTTATTGTTAGATGCGATTATGTCCTATTAACAGCACTTGAAAATTGTCTTCTTGAGAAGATGAAGAGAACAAAACTGCTCTTCCAGGCTCCCTTCCCTTTGTTCTGCCATGAAGATTCTTTGCTTGGTATTTTTCCTGTTTTCCAGACACGCGATGCTCTGAAGCACCTGGTGCAGGTGACCTTGGGCCCAAGGAGGGACCCATGTCTCCTTCCTACCCCCATCTCCCCCATTCCCTGTCTCCCCCCATTCCCAGTCTCCCCACAACCACAGACTCTCTCTATTCCCAGTCTCTCTCTATTCCCAATCTCTCCACAGACCCAGTTTCCCCATTCCCAGTTTCTCCACATTTCCAGTTTCCCCTTTTCCAGTTTCCCTATTCCCACTCTCTCCCCATTCTGTTTCCCATTCCCAGTTTCCCCATTCCCTGTTTCCCGTTCCCAGTTTCCCATTCCCAGTTTCTCCCCATTCCCAGTTTCCTGTTCTCAGGCTCTCCCCATTCCCCATTCGCAGTCTCTCCCCATTCCCAGTTCCCCGTTCCCAGTTTCCCCATTCCCAGTTCCCCAATCCCAGTCTCTCTCCATTCCCAGTTCCCCATTCCCAGTCTCTCTCCATTCCCAGTTCCCCATTCCCAGTCTCTCCCCGTACCCAGTTCCCCATTCCCAGTCGTTCCCCGTTCCCAGTCGTTCCCCATTCCCAGTTCCCCATTCCCAGTTCCCCGTTCCCAGTTCCCCATTCCCAGTCGTTCCCCATTCCCACTTTCCCGTTCCCGGGCTCTCCCCGCCTCAGGACCCTCAGTCCCGGCCCGGCAGCGCCCCCTGGCGGCCCGCGGCTCACAGCCCCGCCCTGCTCCCCGCCTAGCCCCGCCCCTTCAACTCCGATTGGTGAGAAGGCCGCGGGGCGGGCAGAGGCCACGCCCCCGTGGTTATTGAGGGGCCGGTGGGGGCCGTGCCAAGATGGCGGCCGGGCGGGCGACGGGGACCGGAACCGAGCGGCACCGGAGCGGCGGGGCTGGCGGCGGGGCTGGGGTCCCGCGCACCTCGCCCTCTCCTTCTCATCCCTGGAGGAGGGGGCAGCTCCGGCATCCTCCGCCTTAACGGGATGCAGCTGCGCGACCACCCCAGTAGCGACAGCGCGGCAGCAGGTGAGGGGCCCCGGCAGTGACGGGGCTGTGGCGGCGCTGGGGACGGGCGGTGCGGGGCCGTGAGGGGAGGCAGCGGAGCCGCTGGGTGAGCCCCTGTGGCGGCAGGGAGGGCTGCGGGGTGACCCGAGCGGGGCCCCGCTGTGTGAGGGCAGAGGGGACAGCGGGGGGCTCGGCCTTGGGGGCGCTCTCCCTGCAGGCAGCGGGGGCGGCTCTGGAGTGTTGGGTGATCAGTCTGGTTATTAGTGGGCTCTGGAGTGTTGGGTGATCAGTCTGGTTATTAGTGGGCTCTGGAGTGTTGGGTGATCAGTCTGGTTATTAGTGGGCTCTGGAGTGTTGGGTGATCAGTCTGGTTATTAGTGGGCTCTGGAGTGCTGGGTGATCAGTCTGGTTATTAGTGGGCTCTGGAGTGCTGGGTGATCAGTCTGGTTATTAGTGGGCTCTGTCACCACACTGATAAGGGGGCTCCCCCTCTCCGTGTGGGGATGGGGACTGCAGGGTGTGCAGTGAGGGGAGCTCCTGAGCTCGGGGGAGTCAGAGCCCCGAGCTGAGGTGGGCTCGGACCTGCAGGCTGTGGATCCCTTGCCGTGAAGCTGTCCCGGTCTGTCCTTCTCGGCTCAGCAGGAACGCGTTCCAAGTGCCGATGTGCGGGATGTGTGATGGTAAAAGTAAACCTTGGACAGCTGCACAAGCAGGGCAAAGTAAAGCCACCCCATACACATCACTCTGCTAGTGGGAAAGCCCAAATGAGCAAATTTCTTGATAGCATGCACGGAAAGAGCTCTTCACATATCACCAAATGAAATTCTGGAAAAAGGAATCGTTCCTGAGTGCTAGTTATTTAAGTAACTTTTTTTTCCAAATATTTCCTAACAGATGGATGCTCACGGAGAAGGGAAGCTGCCAGGGGTGAGAAGATCACTGTTGAAGCAGGGAAGACTGCAAACATGACATGCTCTTTCATGCTTGAAGCTGGATAAATCTCCCTGCCTCAGCAGGTGGAAAGTAAAACCCAGGCCTGGAGCAATTCTGGTGGCTGATCCCCAGGTGGTGCTCCCCACTCCTCAGAAGCTCGTGGCACTTTTGGGCTTTGCTCTCTTTGTTTTGGTGATCTCAGTACCACATTTACACTGAAGTGTGGCCCAAGAGCCCTGGGGCAGCTCAGAATATCCTGCACAGGTCCAAGAGCCCTGGGGCAGCTCAGAATCCTGCTCCACGTTCATTGCTGGCATTTTTTGTCTGGATGGTTTGGTTTTTGGTTTGATGCCTTGTGCTCAAATGCCATTCTTACTCCTGCTCTTGCTGAGGACACTCAGTGGGTTGGGGCTGGGCCCTGCTTGGAGCAGAGAAGGATGGGATTGCAAGGAGCTTCCTTCCAAACTGGGAGAACAGCAGGACCCTGATGAGGCAGGCACTGACACTGTGCCCAGTGCCTGGCAGTCTGCCTCTGTCACAGCTCCAGGGGCACAGTCTGCTCCTGCAGCCCCTCCCTGTCTGCCTGTCCCCTGCCCCTGGGATCTGTATTTCCTGAAAATAAATGGAATTTCACCCTTCAAAAGTTTGCTTCAAAGTGACAGAGGAAAAGCTTAATAAAAACGCCAAGGTCACATTTTCCTTGCCTCCTAAAATAATATGACAGATCCAATATCTGCATTATTAACTACGAGTGTGAGCTTGTTTTCTTTTTAGGGGCTTTCTAATGTACCTGGGGCTGTTTTCCTCGTGCTGCACAAGCACATGGCTGCAGCCCCTCCTGAGCCTGTGGGCAGCAGCTCTCTGGGAACAGTAGTTATTTATTGTCTTGGCTAAAGATGCCCTCTCACTGCAGAAATAGCTGTGTGAATGCTCCTCTCTTGGCAAACATTGCATTCTGACAAAAGCCTCAGTGTTTTGCCGAAAAATCCTTTTGCAAAGGACATTGATTGTTCTGTTTTGAACTGGAGCAATCCTCAGGCTGAGCAGAGACAAGCAGGATTTCTCCCAACAACACCACTGTCCTCACCTGCCATTGACCGTCCAAGATAATGCTGCAAAATGTCACTAAAATCTTCCAGGAAATTATTTAGCAGCAATAATACTTTTTAAAAAAGCAAATTTTGATGGAGATGTCATTTCATGCAGCATATCACTTTGGTTTGTAGGTAAAAGCTAGTGGAACACAGTGTGTGATCACTTGGTGTTAGAAAAAAACCCTCAAAAATAGCATGTTTGGCAAAAGTGGCAAATTAGCTGCAATAACTGAGGTATCAAAGACAGTTACTGATGGGGTAATTTGGGTTATTTAAGTCTGTTCTGGGAAAATGAGGATTAGGAAGAGGCATAATTAAAATATGCAAAGCCGAAGGGGAATAGAGAATAGATATTAAGTCACTTTAAATTAGTAATTCATGAGAGGGTGGAAGGGAGAGAAATGGATGAAATTATGCTCTGAAAGGGCCCTGATATTCCATTGTTGCAGAGAGAAAAGCTATTCAGAGCCCGAGCACATCTTCTGTGCACACAGAAATTGGAGAGGGGAAGGATTGAAGAGCTGTCTGTCCACTGAGGGAGCTGATCCTGCAGGGTTCCCTCACATCCAAGGAATATGTTTTAGCAGGGGCATCTGGAGTTTTCCAAGCTCTGTTTTCTGTACGTTGACAGCAGAGCTACAGGGGCTGGACCAGGAGAGTCCTTAGCACCTCAGTGTTAGGATTGTGAGAGGCAGTCTTTCCCCAGTGTTCTCTGGTGTGCTGAAAATTAATTCCATCAGGGTGGGGTTTACGCTCTAATCGGACAGCAGGGACCATTTCAGCAAGATGTTTTTCTTACTGAGCATCAAAAGTCCAGTGCAGAGCTCCTGAAGGCACTGTTTTGTCTACCAATAGAGAAGAGTTTTGTTGTGGAATCAAAGAATCACCAGAAGATGAGTTTAGCCTAAAACCCTTACTCCATGGGAGCACAGAGTTGATTTCCAGGTGAGTTCCATGCAGAAATAGGAGCTTTGCATCAGGAGGAAGGTTGACATCTCAATGCCATGAAGGGATGTCAGGCTCCAGAATGAGCAAAATTGAGCATCCAGCTGTTCCAGAAGCAGCCTGGGACCACTCCACAGAGTGTGAAGGTGCAGCTGCTGCCACTGTGATGTCAGGGCCCGCTGGGGTGTCACTGCAGGGTTGGCAAGTCCCCACAGTGCCAACAGACACTGCCGTTCCTGCGATCCAGAACTCCTAATGCCCCCTTCTGCTGGCATTCCAGGAGGATCCTCCTCCTGCAGGAGTTCTCAGTGGGCTGCCTGCAAACCAGCGAGGTTTTTAGCTGACTGTTGGGTTATGCTGCTCTGCGAGTTCTAGCACAGGTCTGCAGAAATGATCCAGCAAGTTGGTGCCACAGCGTGTGATTTTCTGTCTGCTGCCTCTGCAGTGTATTTTTATCCAGATAAACCCTGGCTGGTGACAGCTCATCTGGGGAGTAAGTAGTGCTTTGCCCGAGGTGCAGCATATCTGGCTTTGGGATCACTGTGCTCTTTCTTCTCTTCCTTAGGAACTGAGCTGATTTTGGAACAGCAATGACAGTCAGATGGCATTGGTTTGGTAGAGCTCCTGTCAACAACTTCTGCTAAAAGGGGTGTCTCAATGGGAACAGCGTTTGGAATGTGGGGAGCCCTGTGGGGGGTTCCATGCCCCACACACAACAGTCTGGGGAGTCTGTATTTCCCTCCCTTTGCTGCTTCAGCCAACTTCCAAAATGCAGACTGAAGAGCTTGTCAGAAATGCTTCTAAAAACTGTGCAATTATCTTCAGAACTGAAGGAAAACATCTTTTTTTTTCCCCATAATGAAAGGATTTGACTAACAACCTGTGCTAAAATAGAGATGACCTTCATGGGGAATCATAACTTCCCAACAGTGTGTGCTCCTGAACCCCGGAGCTGTTCCTGTGCAGTGTCAGAATAGAATTCACCTGGCTAAGGGGATTTTGGGAACGCTTTTCTAGGGAAGCATTTTCAGCAAGCTAAAAAGAACCAACATATGCATTTTAAAAAAAAAACCCCCCCAAAAAAAAAAAAAAAAACCAAAAAACTTTAGCTCTTGGGCAGAGCAGAATCATTGGCTTTTAAAGAGCAATTTACATTTTCTTGACTGAGTTTCTATTTATTTAATGGTGAAGCAGCAGAAAAAATAGATGGAAAAATGAAGAAAAAAAATCTGGTATTTTGTTCTGTTCTGTTGCTTACTATAGAAAAGAACTGTTGCTCCTGGAGGGATGTTGTGAAATAAAATGCTCTCTTATTTGGGCTGACTTGTTCCATGGGGGATGCCCACAAGAGGCAGTTTTCTAACAGCATCTGGTTCATCTTCTCTTGCGCACTGCAGATCTGATCATCCAGTTATCCAGAGGTGGACACATGGCAGCCCCTCCTTTGGTGAGTGGGAAAGGAACCTTTGGCATTCCTAGAGTTTAAGAACTGTGGAGGAAGCTGTGAATGAGCTTTGCCTGCTCCAACAGCGTGCCAACCTGAAAAAATGTCCATGTTGGGTTTTGCAGCAGCAGCAAAGCGATCCCTGGCTGTTTCCTCAATTTCTGTTCAAAGCTTTTAAACAGATGAAAGTCTGGTTTTGCAGGGGGAAGATTGTGGGTTTAGCCATGGTGGAATATCTAATTCACAGCAATTTTCAATACTGTATAATTGCCCCATTTTAATTTAGTTTTAACAACTTAGAATTCCCTTTCTAGCAAGTTTCATGGTTTATCTTTAGTACAGCTGGATATATAGCTGAACATAAATAAGTTTATAATTGATAATGTAACTCACTGGAACCATTGAAAGGAAGTTTTAAATAACAATCCACACTAATAAATGTTGGGTTGATATAACAATCCTAGAGAGGGAAATGACATCCACAGTACTATTAGCCAAATTTATTAGGGTTAATATTAAACATTTTAAATAGAGCACCAGTGAGGTGTGAAGGTGCAGAATGGTGCCTTTGATTTGCTTCAGTTCTCTGAGTGGCCTTTGTGACACCTTTAAAGCAGTTTGTGACACCTTTAAAGCAGTTGGGAAGCAGCAAATTTGGGGCAACTTGATGTAATGCTCTGCCCCTGCAGAGCAGCAGCTGGGGCTGTTTCAACCCCCCCATAATTTATAGATATTTAAATTGTGCTGTGACACATGCAACAGCGAACTGAGGCTGTAGGACCACGTGCATCTCTAGATCAGTTTCTGATGTCAAAGCAGCTGAAAGTTGTGTTTATCTGTCAAACCTCCCAAGTGGCAGAAGGGAGACTCTCACTCCTGTCCCCAGGTCACAATACTGCCACCAGGACCTCAGCTGGCTCCTTCCCTTCCTGGACAAGAGGATAATGAGAAGAAGGTGGACGAGGAACCTGCAGCTGTCGCCTCAGGAGAATCAGTGAGTGCCAGCTTTGGTTACCATTGGTGCAATTCAGAGTTTCTGCTCGGCCAGCAGCTGCCATTCACAGCTGGAGGTGCTGAGGGCTGAAGTCCTGCCATGACATTGTGCTTCACCCCAGCCACTGGCACCTGGAAAATTGCAGTTGAACTTCCCCTTTAGTCATCAGTTGCAGGATACAGGAGAAATTGAAGGATACAGGAGAAATTGTCTCTTGGATGTACCTGCCCCTCTGCACAGATTATTTGAGAAAATCCATGAAAATTGAACATGAAACTGGCCATGAACTTGTTTTGGTTTTGTTCATTCAGTTTGTGATGTGGACAGCAAAAAGCAGTTTAAGAGCACTGGATATGGCTGGCAGGCATCTTCCTGAGGGTTTGCATTTGGAATAGAAACTCACGGGATCCCTGCCTGCTCCCTTCCTGACATTTATTTCTCACCACAGATCCACACGAGCTCTCTGCTGGGAGCTGAAGATGCAGATGATGAGACATTTCTCTTGTCTGACACCCTCAGCAGAAGCTCGAGCACTCTGGACAAACCCAGGGTCCGGCTGCAGAAGAAAGTCCACGTGATAGAGGAAGTGCTGGAACAACTGAGTACGTGTGGTGTGCCTTGTCTGGTGTGTGTCCCTGCCTCAGCTGCAGCACAGGGACACAGGGAGCAGGAATTCTCTCTGGGCATTCCTCAGGGCAGCCCAGACTGGGTTCAGTTTCTCTGCTCTTCCATCTGCGCTGAAGGCAAAAGCAGGGATGGTTTCTGATTCAGCAGAAGATGCTTTGACCTAATGAACTACTGAACTCCTGAGTGCTGATGGCCAAATCAAGCAGGATATTTGGGCTCCTAAATTCTCTTTAGTCTCCTGACAAATCATTGGAGCAAAAATACTTCACAGCAGTCTGTCAGATTGAAGACAAGCAGTGGTCCTTCAAATGGCACAGGCAAGGTTATCATCAGAACTTAGCCTGGTAACCCATGATGAGGGTCCTGGATCCTAAAGCCCCATCATTATTGATTATAACACAAGATGCTGTTCTTTAAAATCATAAAGACAATCCTTTGGTGAACTGCTGAAAGTTGGGAAGTCCCCTTCTCTCCTGGAAACACTTTGCACTGTTTCTTAAAAATTAATCCCAGAACCCAAGGTGCATTTAATCTTCAGAAATATTCAACCTTTTGTTGAATCACACAGAGGGTTTATTCCCAGGAAAATAAAGGCTGTGTTGTTTTAGCTCTCCTAAATGTTTGTAGAAAACAAATTCTTGCTTTGGTACCTGGTCTTTCCTGATTTCTGTCTCCTATGCATATTTCTCCAGGTGCTTTGTTTCCTGTCAAGGTAACTCTTCAAAACACTGTAGAAAATCAGAAAATCCATGGAGCTATCTGTGCTTTGGGGCTCTGCTGGAACTTTGGGTGCCCAGTGGAGCTTCCCTGCACAGCCTGTTCCTCCAGCACAGCTTTGGGGCTGCCTCTGTTGCTGTTGTTGCCCACAGAGGGCTCACAGCCAGACAGCGGGGCTGCATTTCCCATCTGCTGGAGAGTGGTGTCTGTTTCAAGTGAGCATCCTGCATTTCGTTTCTTTCAGGGGGCATTGTGAACGAGGGGGACCCTAAGACCAAATACACTGAATTTGTTCAAGTTGGCCAAGGGTAAGTCCCTCCCAGTTACTCCTACAAAGCCATGGGCTGGGCATTTTGCTGCTGGAATATCAAGTGTGAATCCAGGCAAGCTCCAAACATGATGTGGGTTTAGATCCTCCCATCTCATTACAGGTCAGAATTAATAATTACGGTCAGAAGGTGTTGTCAAAGAAAACTTGACACTGGCAGTGCCTCGCCTGCAACAAGGAGCAGACCTGAAAAATCTCCTATCCCTCAAGCCTTATTGCCTAAAAGAGCACCTTACCACCCCACAGCTGTCAGATAAAAGTTCTCAATAACATTTATTTCAAATATTTTGCTTAAAAAATATTTGGTAATTTGGATTATAACCACATAGTTTAGAAATTGAAACCAGAGGTGAAATAATAAGCTCACACTGTCACACAAAAACCCATCCTGTGTAGTCTGCAGCACGCATTCCCTGGGAAAAAATACATGAACACAAAAAGAAGGAAAAAACCCAACACAACAAGGCAAAATGGAAAAAAAAAATTAAATATTTCTCAGTTTTTGTAGGCACACCCTCCCCCTGCTCTTAGGTTTTTGCAAATCTGTGCCCCAGCTCTTTTTCTTCAGTTTTCTTTGCAGTTTTCCCTTGGACACTGCATGACAGAGGGCTGCTGTGCTGCTTTGAAGAATAGATGAACCAAGGTGTTTTAAAACACTTCATGCAGGAGAGATCTCCTGTCTGGGCTGGCTTTTACTCCCAGCACCTGAACTGCTTCTCCTTTCTTCACTGCTCTTTTGTTTCCAGGGGTTTCGGGACTGTTTACAAAGCCACGGACCCAGCCACGGGAGATGTGGTGAGTGCCAGCACCCCCAGCACACCGTGCAGCTCTTCAGGGCTTTCCCCTCTGCTGGGAGCTCTGCTGGAGCTTTGGGTGCCAGTGGAGCTTCCCTGCACAGCCTGTTCCTCCAGCACAGAGCGGTGACAGCCTGCAAAACTCATTTTGGACAGGCTTTGTTCCTGCTCAGTTCCAGAAATAATGCAAGAGGGGCAGTGGTATCTTTCAGAGAGGGACATAATTAAGGCTTAAAATACCAGAGAATGGGTTATTTATTTAGAACCCAGAAAATAATTGCAAATCTGAGCTGTGGAGTTCAGCTTGCTCGTGGAGTAGCAAAATCAAAGTTCAAGAACTGAGAAATGTTGTGGGATTTTAATATTTTTGTGTGTGTAACTGCTATGATCTTTTAGGGTGGGATTTTATCCGTCATGTATGCATGTGTTTACTTTGTTATTCAACCAAGACCAGCAGCAGTGGCTGAAATAATGGCCAAACCCCATAGAATTGCTGAAGGATTCCCAGCTGTTTTGATATATTTTCACAGTCACAAAATCCTGTGTGAATAATAACAGAGGTGATAAACTGAGGGCATCAGGGAAGAATGTGGGTGCAGGGTGTTGTCAGAGATCTGTGGGTGATAGTTTAGGGAGATTTTTGCGGAGTTCGGAGTAGCAAAATTGAAGTTCAAGAACTAAGAAATGTTGTGGGATTGTAATATTTTTGTGTGTGTAACTGCTATGATCTTTTAGGGTGGGATTTTATCCGTCATGTATGCATGTGTTTACTTTGTTATTCAACCAAGACCAGCAGCAGTGGCTGAAATAATGGCCAAACCCCATAGAATTGCTGAAGGATTCCCAGCTGTTTTGATACATTTTCACAGTCACAAAATCCTGCTTGCAAAACCTGTGTGAATAATAACAGAGGTGATAAACTGAGGGCATCAGGGAAGAATGTGGGTGCAGGGTGTTGTCAGAGATCTGTGGGTGATAGTTTAGGGAGATTTTTGCGGAGTTTAGAAGGCAAAATGTCTCTGGCAAGTGTCCTGTAAGTGACAGCCAAGCAAGTGGAGAAATCAGCTGTTGTCCTGTCACTTCCTGAGCCCTGGTGTCTGATCACAAGGCAGCTGGCTCAGCCCAGCCCCATCACTCCAAAAACACTCTCTCCATGGTCATTGTGCTCTCCTGCAGCAGAACCTTTGGGGTCCATGGGCTCCACTTTCATTCCAGGTGGCCCTAAAGAAGATGCCTCTCCGCAAACGGAGCAGGAAGGAACTCATTGTCAACGAGATTCAGATCATGAAGGAAAACAGGCATCCCAATATTGTCAATTATGTAGACAGGTGAGTGGTTCTGATGTTAGCAAGGGAATGTCTGTTCACACACAGCCAGACAAAGGTTTAAAAACCCTTCTGGGCACTGGCAGAACATGCAGCTCTTTCTCATTTCTCTGTTCATCAGTGGGTGGGAGGAGATGGCCTTGGGTCTCCATTAATCTTTTCTGGTGTATGTAGTCGGAAACCTCTTTTCAAAACCTGAATGTGCCATGTCTTACTGAAACAACTGCTTCTCAGTTCATTACCTCTGTGTTGTTTTGGGGTTTGGTTTTTCAGGTTGATCATATTTTCTGTGCCTTAACGATAAGTGCTGATAAACCATCATAGAAGTTATCTCCCTTGGACTCTTCCCACCATTTTCCATTGCTGTGGAAGCCAGGAAGACTAAATTTCTCTTTTGAAGAACCACATAATTTGCCAGTTTAACATAGTTTTTCCTGTTTCTGACTGTATTTTATGCAGTGTTTTCCAAATGGTTGGCCAACATCTGTCCTCAGTGGTGCAGAGCCTCCTCCCATGGATAACTCTGGATTGTGTTGCCTTGTTCCTGCAGTGAATGGTGGAACTGATAAATTAAGATAGTCACTCAGTTGATGGCAAGTGTCCCGGTTCCAGATTGATCCTCTTCTATTACTAAACTGCATTTTTCATTTAATTTCTCATGAGCCTTTCTCATTTAGACTGCACAGGTTCCAAATAATCTGTCACCTACAAGGAATGTCTCTCCATTTCATTCTGCCTCCATTTACAAGTGACCTGGAAACAAAACTCCCCTGCAGTCTTTTCACAAGGTAATTTAGCTGTGTACATTCATACATTCATCTCCATGCCTTTATTTTCTTCTCTCAGCTACCTGGTGAATGAAGACCTGTGGCTCGTGATGGAATATGTGGATGGAGGCACTTTAACCAGCGTTCTTGTCCAAGTCTTAATGGAGGAAAGAATTATAGCTGCTATCAGCAGGGAGGTGAGGGACCCTGCTTGTGCTTCCAATCGCTTGCACAGGGTGGGACAGGAGTGACTTCGTGTTCAGAGCTTTGTTTCAGTGCTGCTGTTATGAAATGTAAAATAAAAGGGTGTCTTGGTTTGAATAGACAGGTGTCTATTAAGGAAGGCAGAAGATTCTCTTGAAATGGAAAATGTAAATCCCCTCTCTCTGAATTATTAGGATTTTGAAATTAAGAGTCTCTCAGGTAAAGATATGGGAATAGGAATAACAGTTATTTATTAGGAAAATTAAAAATACAAATGCAATAGTACACTGCCAACAGAACCACAGGCAGTGGAGGACCAGCAAAGTCTTGGAAAAGATGGGGTCACTCACAAAGACACATTTTGTAAGAAATGGACTTAAAGAAACCCCAAAAAGCCGTGCCACAAAATCACAAAGTGTACCTAGATCCACACCTCTATTCCCTATGGCTCTTCTCCCTTAACAGAATTTCCTTTTGTCAGAAGATTTGACTAGGAAAAAATTCCATTTTTGTGAGGTGTTGTGAACTGTTTTTACTACTTGTAATAACCATCCCGGGTCTGAGTATTCTTGTAATGCAATGCCATGTAGCAGAGAACCTGTCCACTTTATAGCTTTGCTCTCAATATTTGTTACTCATTGTTTTCTCATCTAAATGTACATTTGCAAGATGTGTGTCAACCTAAGACAAAGGGCATCTAAGTGAGCCTCCTGCCAACACAACTGCATTTCTTATACCCTGTTATTGTACACTTTTGTCATGGTCTCTTTTAAATTTATTTACGATTCTAAACTTTGCCTCATTAAACTGGAGCATGTCTGCACTGCATTCTTGGCCTGTAAAAGCAAACATGCTCATGGCAGAATTTTAAACTAACAACAAATTAAAACAGAGCCTCTTTTCTCACAGCCCTCAGCTTAAAAGGAGAGCATTGCACCCCAAGTGGTGTTTGCTTCTGAAAAGTGACTAATGTGCTGCTTAATGTGCTGTTGAGGCCAACATAAAACCTCTGTCATGCAGCCTCCCACACAAAAGTGATACACTTCATAATGGAGGGAGAGAGATTTTTTTTTTCCTTTTTGACAAACCCTCCTTTGTCACCTGCATGGAGAGAGCAGAACCACTGCAGCCATTCTGGCTGGGTTAGGGATGGGCAGTCTAGATCAACAATTGGTGTTTCACCTAGAAATTCAATCTTTTAGACCCATTTCCTATTCTTGTGTGATGAAATGAGGTTAATTAACTTCTACCCTCATGGGTTTTGTCTCAGTGCCTCAAAGCCCTGGATTTCCTTCATTCAAGGAAAGTGATCCACAGAGATGTCAAAAGTGACAATATTCTTCTCGGGATGGACGGATCTGTGAAACTGAGTAGGTATTCTTGGTCAGGCACAGCATCCCCATGTTCTCAGACACAGACTGAGGATTTCTTGTGCTTGATTTCATGGTTCAAGCTGATTTGACAGTACTTTTGTTTTCCTCCTCAGCTGATTTTGGCCTGTGTGCTCAGCTGACCCCGGAGCGGAGCACACGGTGCACACTGCTTGGCTCTCCTTACTGGGTAGCACCAGAAATCCTGAAAAGAAAGGAATATGACACCCAAGTGGACATCTGGGCCCTTGGGATTGTGGCCATTGAAATGCTGGAGGGGGAACCTCCATACTTTAGAGAAAGCCCTGTCCAGGTAAGGTTCAAACACTGTCAGATACCACTGTCTTGCCAATCTGTGCCATGTTTTGTCTCCCATGAACCAAAATCCCACTCAAATCAGCTTGAAATGGTTCCACCAAGGCCCACTTCTAGAAATATCCCTGCAGAACATGTCAGCAGAGGAGAAGTGATCTGTGCAAGTGCAAAAATGTGCCTTTTTGGCTTCCAACACTGCTTGAGTTCCTCCTGCTGTGTTTGATCTCTCTCTGAGCTGGAGCTGGGAATGCCAGCAGCAAGTTTCTCCAATTGGGAAATTATTATGAAAAGCATTACAAGTGTATCTGCAGGCCCAGAAGTCTTTTCAAATTCTGACCAGTGCCTTTCAGGGAGGGTCACTGGTTCTAGTGATGCCATAATTATGTATTACCCAAAAAAATTCTAAAAGTATATTTTAGCAAAGCTACTTGTAATAAATGTATTTTAAAGTTTTCAGTTTTAGATCCTAATTCCTTAAAATGAAATGATGAGTTCTTACACTACTAAATGAGTGAGGAATAGTGGAGGAATGTATACCAGGATAAAATTTCATGGCTATTAGCTGAAACCAGGCTAAATGCTGCACAGTTGATTCCTGAGGAAGACAACAGTTCTGAAGATTTCAGTCTTCCACTCTTTTTTAAAAAGTTCCTTGACTCTTCTTGGAAGATCACTTCTGGATTGCTTTTGCCTTGTTTTAAGGCAGCAAACCCAGATGAAGAGAATAATTTCCAGATCCCAGAACATTCTGAGCTGGGAGGGATCACCAAGTCCAGCTCCTGAGTGAATGGCCCATTTGGGGATTGCTGTCACCAGCACCATGCTCTGACCAGCTGAGCTCCACTCAGGCTCATTGTCATCCCTGCTCTGAGACTGACAGTTCCCTGCTGCCTTGCCTCCAATGCTGAGCACAGCCCCTTGCGAGGCACCAGGAGCTCTCAGAAAGCCAGAGGGCCTGCAGTGGAGCTGTGACCCCAGGGATGGTCAGTGGCTGTCCCGTGCTTCCTCTGTCCCCAGGCTCAGCGCCTGATCGCCCGGAACAGGTACCCCCCTCTGAGGATGCCCAGCAAGATGTCAGTTCTGTTCCACGCCTTCCTGCACTCCTGCCTGGACACCAACCCCAGCATCCGCTGGACAGCCAAGGAGCTCCTGCAGGTAGAGGCCCAGTGGCTGCAGGGGAAAGTCTCCTCTCCTGTTAATCCCCAGTCTGGGTGCTTTGCAACGTAGAATCATAGAAGAATTTGGCTTGGAAGGGACCTTTAAAGTCCATCTGGTCCAACCTCCCTGCCATGAGTGGGGACATCTTCAACTTGATCAGGATGCTCAGAGCTCTGTCCAACCTGACTTTGGATGTTTTCACAGATGGGGCATCCAACACCCCTCTGGGCAACCTGTGCCAGTGTTTCACCACCCCCAGTATAAACAGTTTCTTCCTTAGACCTAACCTGAATCTCTCCTCTTTTCATTTAAAACCATTATCCTTTGTCCCTTTGCAACAGGCCCTACTAAAAATGGGTCCCCCTTGAAGTTTTGAAGGCTGCAACAAGGTCTTCCTACAGCCTTCTCTCCTCCAGGCTGAACAATCCCAGTTCTCTTGGCCTTTCCTCAGAGGAAAGGTGTTCCATCCACCCTCTGACCATTTCTGTGTTGTATTTTGGGAGTGCATTCAGTCTTAGCTGGTGGCAAGAGAGCTGCAGTAGAATGGTGCCAGGTACACAGGCCCAAAATGGTGTTGGTGGAAGAGGAACCCAGTCCCAGCCCAGCAGAGATTTGGCTCTTGTTGTCTTGGTGCTGAAAACCTGCACCTCAGTGTCCTTCAGAACAGCACAGCCCTAGATCCTAATGGGATCAACATTCCTTGGAGGTGCTGGAGTTCCCTGTGGAACAGCTTGCACTCATCTTTTCTGACAACTGAAGCAGCCCTGCCTTTAGAAAAAAGGAACCTAAGTGACTCCTTTGAGTTTCCTGAAATTAAAAAAGCCCTAAGGCAGCAAGTGGCATTCCCAGAGTGCCGGCGGGGTCAAAATCCCAGCAAGCTGAAGACCCCTTGATAAATTGATTAATGAGATCACTGGGCCATGTTTGCCTCTGACAGCAAGGTCCTGAATATTAAGACTGAAGTGCAGATGGTCCCCTCAGTCCTATTCATGTGTATTTCTGGTAAGCAGAGGAATCATGCTTCCTCTTGTAAGAAACTGGCTTTGGAAAGTAACAGTTCCTTTCTTTTTTCCCCTTTGGGCAGCATCCATTTTTACGAACAGCCGTGAGTCTCTCTGTCCTGCCTGACATGATCCGTATAGCCAGGAAACTCTGTAAGGCCATGGAAGCACTTCAGGCCAGCAGTGCCAGCCCAGAGCAAAAGAAGGAATAAAATTTTCACTCCTTTGGGAGATTTGCTCCCTTCTCACAGAGTGGTTCCACAACAACTTCTGAATTATTGGTTGCTTCTTAAAGGTGGAAAGTCCCAATTATGGGGGATTTGGTATGGTTTGAAAATGGGGAAGGGTCTCCTTCATCCATCAGCTCCAGGCTACGCTGCCTCTGGAATGCCCATGGGCTGGGTTTTGGCCACTTGCAGCAATTCTGGGTGAGGAAGAAAGTGCAATTGCATTTCCAGCCAAACGGGGAAGCCAAAACATCCTGTTGGATGCAGTCAGGTGGGACTGTGGAGTGTTTGGAGAATTCCCTGTCCTCCCTCCACCTGGCAGAACATGTGGACACAAAAATATATAGAGATTATAGAGAAAGACGTGTATAACATAGATTGCTAAATGGGGGGTGTGCAAATGTACACAGACACAATATACTGCATAATTATTATATGTAAAATATTTATATAATATATATTATTATTATAGTCCTATATATATAATGTTTCTATATAATTATATGTATAGATAGTGTGTTACAGAGCTATGGACATACATTTACCTTGTACCTTATATTGTCACCTATTCACAACCCCCCCATAACTCTCCTGAACTGCAGTTCCTTATATAATACTCCATATATATATATATATATCTGTATATACATATATATATTGGGTGTGTGTATATATCGTGTATATACATAGTGTGCATATATATTATATATCTGTATATACCTATATAGGGTGTGTGTATATAGTGTGTGTATACACAGTGTGCATATATATATATATATATTTTATATACACTCAGGGCTTCTATAACAGTTACACAGTGTGTAGAGAGCTATAATAGCATGTATAGGCTAACGTGTGGCACCCTCTGTGAATTAAAGGCCGTTTTTATCCGGGTGTGTCGCACCCCCGCGCTCAGGTGTCCGTACCTGGCCGTGGTCACACCTGTGTGATGGACACCGACCGCCCCCTCGCGGCCGCCGCCGGCGCAGAAATCGCTAAAATTGAAATTTTTTGTAAAATTTTATTTAGGTCACTTCGTATTGAAAAGTTACAAAATGTTGCAATGAAATATTTTACACCCATTTCCACCTGTTTTCATTTTTGAGGTGGCTCGAGTGTGTACATAAATGCAGCCCTTCTCCCCTCCCAAAAAAACAACCCCAAGATGTTTTCCCACATGTTGATATTGTTAAAAAATGAACAATTTTAAGTACCAAAGTTAGAAGCAGGTAGCAGCACAAGCCCCTGTCAGCCTGCCCTTGCCTGGCTTCACCTGGGAAGGCAGAAGCATCTGTAAACCAGCAGAGCCAGCTGTATTCCCACGCTGGATCAGCTCCTCCTGACGGGAAAACCAAACAGTTCCCACAAACAATCACTGCAGAGGTGGAGGCATCCTGCTGAGCCTCCTGCAGCTCCCAGCACCGCCAGTCCCTCAGGGCAGCACTGGCCAGCAGTGCCTGGCCCCATGCCACGGGGACAAACTGGGGCAATGTCTGGAGCTGGCACAATGATCAAGGCCTCAAGGTCACCGTGTCTGTGCTCCCCACCCTGAGTTCCCACTTTTCCAGGCTGTACACACCCAAGAACTGCAACTGCTGATCATGCTCCCTGTGTCCCACTCATGCTGGGGACAGCCCTGTGCAGAGGCTGGAACAGGGTGGTGGTGCTGGGACTGGGGCCAGGGCTGTGTGGCTGCAAGGAAAGAGCCAAGGGACTCCCCTCCAGCTTGGGGCTGAGCTGGCTTTGTGCCCTCAGTGGGCTCAGGAGCATCCTCAGCCAAATCATGGGGCAGGGAGGCACAAACCTCTGGTGCCATCTCAGTGTGGAACGTTTTTCAGGCTAAACACTGATCCATGGCTAAGCCAAGCCCCAGGAATGGCCCCCATCCCATAGGGAATGGCCCCCAACCCATAGGGAAAGGCTCCCATCCCATAGGGAAAGGCCCCCATCCCATATGGAACAGCCTCCAAACGGGCCCTCATCCCATAGGGAACAGCCTCCATCCCATAGGGAATGGGCACCATCCCATAGGGAACACTGCAGGAAGCAGCTCCCACAGCCTGGACAGAGTGTGAGGAAAAGCAAAGGAAACAGCTCTCAGGCTCTAGGGCAGCCCAGACCTTTGCAGTTCCCCTGTCCAAGCTCTGGTCTGCATGAGACAGTTTATGCTTTTCAAGAGAGAAATCTCAGTTTACAAACATTTCTGGAGTAAGCAGCCCTGAAGCCATGAGCTTTCAGAGAATGTCACTTGCCTGTGGGGCCTGTAGTTCACACCTCTGACAAGATCTCTGCTGTGCCAAACGGCCTGAGCCCAAACTGTCTGAAAAGAGCTGAATTTTGGTCCTTGGTATGTGCAAGCTGATGGCACTGCAGCATCATTCACAGCCCCACAGACCATCTCTGGCATGTCAGAGAAAGCATTTTCCTACCACAGCAATCATCTTTTTGGAGCCCTGAGGAGACCTTTTGTGAAAACATTAGCTCTGTCAAGGGCCATTTCATCAATTGTAAAAATTGCACAGTGTGGCTGAAGTGGCTACAAGGCACACAGAAATCCAAATTTCCTGGCTGTAAAAAGGCAGAATGGTCCTTTATCTTCACTTTCCCACCCAGAATCTGCAGCTGTGTAAAATCCATTTCTGAGTGTCTGGCACAGAGCCCCGTGCACTGCCAGGGTCACTGCCCAGCATGCCCACCCCAGACAGCTGCTGAGGGAACCCTGCCAGGGCTGCAGGGGAAGGGAAGAGCTGGCACCAGACCCCTGCTGGGAGGGAAATGTGAAATAACACCCGTCCTCCATGGTACCCGAGTGAAACTCCATCAAACATCAGTCGTGACAGCAATAAATGACTGCAAAATTTTGAGAGTGAGACCTTGCAACTGACAGCAACCCTGCTTTTACAACCCCACCCTTCTCATGAGCTCATTTTCTCCTTTCGGCTGGTGCTACATCTACCTCAGGGAACAGCACCCTGCTTTTACAACCCCACCCTTCTCATGAGCTCATTTTCTCCTTTCGGCTGGTGCTACCAAAACAAGAGGGCTTTTATCCCATTTTTAGCATGATGTGGCTTAAACAAAGCAAGGAGGCTCCCATTACTGAATCTGTGCTCTGAGCAAAGCCCCAGCTGAACTGTGAGGTGCCCTTGGACAGAGATACCAAACTGTGAGTGACCAGCTCGAGGCAGAGAAGAGAACAATCAGAAAGTCAGTCTGAGAGCCTTTGGGTGGACAGAGCTCTTATTTGCTGTGGTGTTCAAACAGGCACTGCAAGATCTGCCCCTCTGTTTTAATGTTGTCCTGGCAAGACTGGTCTTAAGGCCACAAGCTATGACTGAGCTCTATTTTCACCAAGGAACAGAAACATCTAATCTATAGTGAAATTCATCAAGAAATTTATATCCTTCTATGGGAAGGATATGGAAAAAATATCCCCATGAATCCCCCTTGTACTTGCCAGTTCCCAAGCTACCGGTGGGTGCTCGATGGAGCTGCAGCCATTCCTGCCTGCATCCTCAACCATGCTCCCATCCCCATGAGCTTCCCTGCCAGCATTCCATTTGGTCCCTCTCCTGTCACCCTGTTCTTCTAAGTTCTTCTAAGCCTTCTGATGTTTATATTCTTGTAATGGAGTTTCTCATGCACTTTTATGTAAATAATTATTGTTTTTACATTCCTCTCTGGAGAAAGAGAAATTTGATAAGACTGTTGGTTTGTCCAGTGTCATTGGAGAAGTGGCACTTTCATCCTCCAATCCACTGTCACTTTTGAAAGTCTATAAATGTTAGAGTCAAGAAATAAACCACTCTTCTTCTTCTTACCTTGCAGTTCCAGTGTCCGCGTGGTTTTATTTCGTGTCCTATTGCAACACTCTCCTACTGCATGAGCTGTATCACGAGCATAGCTATGGATAAATATGCATTTCCCCCTTTCCCAAAGGAGGATTTTCCCCCCCTTTAAAGCGATTATGCTGATGTGCTCCCTGTGCTGCCGGGAGGTGACAGCTCCGTCTGGCTGTGCGGAGCTCAGAGCTCGCCCAGGTCCTCGCTGCACAGCACCGTGACGCTGATGTGACCCGGCACCTCGGCCGCTTCCCCGCCACCTCTGCCCCGCAGCTTCAGCCTCTGCTGCTTGAGGGGCTCACCCGGGGAGGCTGCCAGCACCGCCTGCCCCAGGAACTGGTCACTCAGGAGGTTGCTGTTCCACACCTGGAGAAAGGACACAGAGAACCCGGCTGAGGCAGCGCTGCTGTCACGCTCCGCCGGGAAGGGTCACCCCCGATAACCCCTAGGAACAGCGTGTCTAAATTTATTAATTGTCTAGAGAGCGTGAGGGAGAGTCTGGATTTGCATGCTCATTTACATAGACTATGCAAATAAGGAGAGAAATGCAGCTTTTTGCTTTCTAGGTCAGAGCCTGCCTAGGAGAGGAATAAAAATGACCTTTTTTTAGCACATCAGCAGTAAAATCTATCTACAATAGCCTGTCTGTGCTGCTCTGCCTGCCTGTGCCCACCTCTGCACCTCCTCAGTACTAGAGTTTTAGAGCCTGGCCCACAGACTAGGCTGAAGACTAAGATTTCCTGGACTGCATCATCTCAGTCCCAAGCTCTATTTCTCCAGCTAGTGCTGAAGTAAACAGTGAGGTCTAGTTCTCACAGGACTAGAATTCAGGGTAGAAAACTTCTTAATAACAGCCTTAGCTTTGGGGTTGTTTCAAACACTGACTCTGGACAGCACTTGGCTTCTCCTTGTCTCTGTTTCATCAGATACCACATGGGGCAAAAGGAATTCTGTAAATTCCTTCAAAGCCTTGGAATGAAATATTCCTTGGAATGAAATATGCCTTGTGATCCCCAAGTGCCATCAGCTGGTGTTTGTGGAGCAGAAGCAGCAGCAGCCCTGAGTGGCTGGCTGCCTGCTGGGTTCTGCATGGCAGAGGATTCCTCCCAGACCCAAGCTGCCACCACTGGAAACTCAGGCTGC